ATATATATATATATCAAAAGAAGATAAAGATAATACTTTTGTCTTATGATGCAATTGCCAACATGGACAGAACATTAGTCATAAATAGAGTGGCCATCTTGAATATTTAAAAATTTCAATTTTAAAATATCAAATTAATCTAATCTAATTTAGTTTTGAAAATAGTAGAATGACTTTCAAAAAACGAAACGTGATAACTATTTTGAAATAGAGAAAGTAATATCTACTAAATAGGATAACTTAGTAAATTATCTCTTACATTTATTAATTTTCCTAATAAACGTGCAATAAATTATAACAACACTTATTAGTGTGCTTAGTTACACATAAGTAGGATGAAATACTACACATATAGTTAACTTGCTCATTAAGTTTTTTTTTTCTTTGAATGCTTTGTGATTAGATGAATGCTAAATTCTGCTTTACTTAACTATGTCACTTACATAAATCAAAAGAAGATAAAGAAAAGTCTCTATCTTATTATATCTTATGATGCAATTGCTAATTAAGACTATCCATTTGTCATTAAAAGAGTGGTTTTGTTTGTGTTTTTTAAGGAAATTATATTATAAGATTTAATTTCTCAATAATAGTGGGATGTGTTTTTGTTTTATGTGTTCAATTTCAATAGTTGCTCACCAACTTACTAACTTCTTCTATAATGTTGTTTGCCTACTAGAAAAGTTATTAATTATAAAATTTAACTAATAGTATATGATATTTGGAATTTACTGGTTCGACTTTTTTTACATTGTGATGTGCAAAAAAAATCTACGTAAGGAATTTCTTTTCAGAATTTAGGAGCATAAATTTAGTAATTCACATATGTAGTTTGAATATGAAATTTCTGATTATGAATAAAATTTGAAAGAATTTCATGCATCTTATATATATATCGAGTGGTTAAAACAAAAGGAATGATAGTCTTTTTCATAATTAAGTTATTACTAAATTCTATTTTTGAGTCCGTATGATATATATTTTCATATATTTAATTTTTAATAAATCAAAATATATGATTTGGTCCTATTATATAAAGACTATGTTGTATTTAACTGTTATAGAATTTTAGTGTGTCAGATATGAAGTAACAATATAAACTTAACATAACACATAAATATTTCCATAATCAATAATCATAATACGTTTATAATAGAAGAATTTTTACCTTAATTATTTATAGTTCTGATAATTTTTTTCAAACAATTGAATAGAAATTGCACAATTTAATAACTCAAGGATCATTAGTGCTACAAACACTCAATAAAATAAAATAACATAACATGTAGGTATTCACTCGATGTCCAATCAATTATGGTTTATTTGTAGGTTTTAAACTAAGTTATAGATTAGAGAAAATATTATAAAATGGTACACGACTGGTTGATGAACCACTTGAACAAGTAAACACGTTATCAATTTTACTTAATATGGTCATTGAGATAAAAATAGAATATTTGTTTGTTGTAAGTAAAATTTATTGGTTGGTTTATTATTAGTTGTCCATTTTATTTTTGATGTAATACTAACTTTTTGAAATGTTTACCTATTATTTTGGGTATGTTATGATTTAGACTTCCGATTGTATACGTACTTCTTAATTTTTGGTATGTTAAGATACGATAAGATTCACAATTGATCGATCCATAAGAATTGTAAATTTTTCTATCTTACGTAAAGTTCGATCTCAAATAGATTATCTATTTATATGCCATGAAAACTATTATGTTGGGAGGTACATTTATGTAAAAAGGCCTAGATACTAAAGCCAGTTTTTAACTTATGGGCTTAAAACATATGTACAACGGACCGGAATTTGAATTGGGTTAGAACTTTATCAATAGGCCCAAGCTAAATTATATGTACATTTTGGTTAGATTATATACATAGGAAATAGGGATGTTAAATGAATATTTTCATTATCTAATGTTGTATATATAGCCATAAGGTGTATTTATTTTGTCAATTATATTAAAAGTTGACAAAATTAAATATACACTTACAATAGCTATATTTAGCTTTTGTACACTATATAATTTTGCAGCGAAGAATATGCACCAGATCACCGTAGATGACTCCGTTCATGCTGTCAAGTATTCTTCTTCACATAGATTACATAACTTATGCTGATCCATACATCAAAATTACATAGAGGCATTGTCGCAACAAGAAAAATTATTTTTAAAATCGAACTTGTGATTTAAAACAAGTTTTAACTACTTTTACCAGTTACACTATAAGGGAATTAAAAATTATAAATATACAATTAAATTTTTTCTTTATTTTAATTTGCCTTGTTTTTGCCAAAATACCAAATTTTAATGAAGACGATTCATTTGAACCCTTTTTTGCTACGGCCACAATCTATAGAAGCACTAAATATAACAAGTTTTTCCCATAAATCATTCCCATTGGAATGTTATTGCACAAAAACGAAAGCCAAATAAATTCGATTTTTTTTTCATAACATCCCACAAAATTACACACATGAAAAAGATGAAATTAATATATATAAAATATTAATATTACCATCTAGCTAGGTAATATATTCAACTAAAAAAAGAAGTAAAGATTAAAATTACCCTTGTGGTACATCCTTTTGACTTGTTATCTCTGCATCACCAATTCTAGACGTATACTATGTTTTAGAGCCTTTAAACTTTAGGATCAGTACCATTTGAATCCGTGGTCGTCTCAGCCGCGACAAGTTCACGGAATTTAACAACGACATAGCCCAAACCATGGCCTAAAATAGCAACAATGAAAATCCCAATGTTGAAGGACATAACAGCAAGCATAACAAAATAAACAAGAACCATTCGAAGAGTATAATAAATCCCAGATTCAATAATCCCAATGGGCCTTTTGTTGATCATTATTGGACCCATTGACATAATTTCAACACCAAAAGCCATAAAGAAAACAAAAAACAAAGACAATATGTACATGCCTAGGTTATTGTTTGGCCATCCTTTGAATAATATTGTCACATCTTTACCCCAATAGAAATTCATTTGCATCACCATGTTCATAATCATAGGCATATTTTGATCGTGAGGCATGTCCATGTTTCCTTGATGGTCGTGTGTGTGAGAAATTTTGAGGAATTAGAAAAAAAAAATGGATTTATTATTACTATGTAGATGAGACACAAATGATAGATATGAATTGTGAGTGTGCTTAAATAAATTTGTGAGAGTCACTGTCAATGGGTTGCTCAGATGATAAGCACCCTCCACACTCTAATCCTATGAGTGTGAGTTTGAGTCACCTAGAGAGCGAAAAAAAGGTGGAAACTCCTAGGTAGGAGTAAAAAATGAATTCAGTACTTTCGACGTACATCATTAATTTATGTGGTAAAGTTCATTAATAATGGTTGATTAAACTTATAAAACTTAAATTCTGAATTTGTCTCGACCATTGTTAGCTCAATTGAGTGGGGAAAAAAACAAGGATGAAAATGACTAATATTGTTTGTTTATTTGGAATGGGCGAGGGAGAATATAATATATATTTGCAGGAGCCAGCCTAAAGATAACAACGTCCGTTATCTTTCGTTGTTGAAATGTTTATTGTGGAGAAGAATCTGCATAATTTGAATGAGTTGAAAGAAAGACAACAACATCCAATTAAAGTATTCTCTTATGCCAAAATATTTGTTTTGTTTCGTTTTTTTAGTATCATACTGTTTGCAACAAATTTTAAACATATGGAAAATAAATAAACCACACAAATAAAATTTGAAGAAACATAATTTTATTCATCAAGATAACGGATACAATTCTGTTCCTCCCTTGATTCTCCTCTCCTAAGATTTATCCATGATTCAAGAGTTTCAAATTTTCAGATTTGATTAAGAGAGAAGAGATGAAGGGTAGATTTGGTCCCACTGGGCGTGCCAATTTGTTTGCAACAAATTTTAAACATATGGAAAATAAATAAACCACACAAATAAAATTTGAAGAAACATAATTTTATTCATCAAGATAACGGATACAATTCTGTTCCTCCCTTGATTCTCCTCTCCTAAGATTTATCCATGATTCGAGGGCCGTTAGTGGCGTATTTCTTGAACTAGGATGATTTAGATTTGACCTCTATAAGAATATTCCATGTCTTTTGTGGAATATATGAGGTCTTGATCTCTTTATGAAATTTTTGAGATCGCCTTTTAAGGAAATTTAGTACCCTTTATATAGGCATAAACTAGGGTTTAAGGTTGAGTAGCCTCCAAGAATCATAATTTGAGTTGAAACACAAATTTAGTAGAGTCCCAACTCGAATTGAATACATCTTGTAGAGTCCCACAAAATTTCAATGTCTACACATACTATATGAATTTTGAGACGTGTTTTCTTACAGTACTACTTTTATTTAGTTTTGCAGTATCTATATTCTTAATTTTTTTCAAAAGATCGAATTAAACTAATTCAATTTAGCTATTAAGATTAATCAAATTGACTTGAAAGAAGCAAAAAATGTAAACCATTGAACTTCTAGGATTTAACTTTCATTAGGCAGACATAAAAGCAATATTGAGATGTTTCATTTGAAGAATTTGGACCAATTAGTCGATACGAAACTAGAGGTCTTGGACTTGGACTAATTGAGTAATTGGACATAATTACTAGTACTATTCTTTGATAATTGAAAGTTTTGGTTATTGAAGTATTTTATAAATAGATGGGGCAAATTGAAAGTGAGTAGAGTATAGTAAGATAAAAGTAATGTAAGAATTTATCTACTATATATAGTCACATGCATAAATAATTGGTGTTTATAATTAATCATCACAAATACTATATATTATAAAATTATTATATGCAATTATGAAGATTAACTTCTACTTCTAATACATGACTGATCATTACATGATATATAGAGCTTCTTTCAATCTTTCCTTTACGTTAATATTTCTATAAATTCCAATTAATGTGAGACTTATAATTATTCCCCAAATTATCATGTCATCAATAAATTTCACCCGTTCATCCTAGAAATAATTGGGACATAATCATGATCGATAGCCTGTTCGACTAAGCTTTTAAAATCTGTTTATTTTGAAAAATATTTTTTGATAATTAAGTAACAGTTTGTATTTGACTAATTATTTTGAAAAAACACTTTTGTCAAGATTAGAGCAGTACTTAATGCTTGACCAATGTTTCAAAAATGCAAAAAAGAATTATCTTAGGAAAAACAACTTCCGCTATTATTCAAAACATTTATTTTTATTTCTAAAAGATTGACCAAACACCTCAACTTTCTGAAAATAATAATTTAAAAATAAAATAAACAATTTTAGATTCTACTTCTGATATGTAGTATTAACATTATTTTTAAAACAATGATGCATTTCTAACTTATCGAGAGTATGAACTTATATTAAGTTTATGAAGGATACATATTAAGGTAGATGATTAGTTAGGTGGTTGAGAATTATTTCGCATAATTAGTCGTTCATATATTAGTAATCGTAGTTTTACTCTAGGAGTTTCTTTCTATTCCATCTCTGTTACTATTGTAATGTCTAACTAACACTGTGAATTATTATGTTATTTTGTGGTAGTGACTGTTTCATATTTTTACTATGCGTTTTTATGCTTTTTTAATTAGCCTTTTGCCTTGACTTCTTCAATCTCATTGTTTCCTTTTCAAATTGCTTTATAATGTTTTTACTTGAGCGGATAAGTTTCTTGATATTCGAAAACAACCTCTCTATTTTGTAGAGGTAAGATCAGTGTACACACTAATATTAGCTCAGAATGGAAAACAAAAAAAAAGGAAAAAATTCAAAGAATAAGAAATAGAAATACCATTTTATTTATTTAGTACTAGTTACTACTAATATTACACAATCATATATATGTCAAACTCACTTTTGATTCTTTTCTCTCCATATCATATATAGTACTACTAAAACTTTTTACTATTCTCTCTTTATTTTTACTTCATATTCCACAATATTATACATAATATGTGGAGTAGCACCAAATTAACAAAACATATTTATTATTCCATAAGATTTAACCTTTTAATTAATTAATTAATTTGAACAGATCTTAGATGGGGTTGATTCCTTCTAATTTCCTTCTTAGGAACAGTTATAGTGAGCACTCCATTTTCCATTGATGACTTAACATAATCAGCCCTTGAATTCAGAGGCAGTGAAAAAGATGTTAAGAATTTTCCACTGCTTCTTTCATAATGGTGCCAATTATCTTCTTTCTTCATCATTCTTGTTTCCCCAGTAATTTTCAGTATTTTTTCATCTTCCACCTGCGAAAAAACGCGTATATAACATATAATCAATGGGTTCAACTGAATTAACTATACTATAGTATATCCTTATAGTCATGTAAATGAAATGTCACTTTAGTACTCTCTCTTCTTAATTTATGTAACCTTTTCGAGATTTAAACTATGTAACAATGTTAAAAAAGAATGATCTACTTTCCTTTTTAGTCTGTTTAAAAAAGTATGACCCCTTTCCTTTTTTGGCAACACTTTAACTTCAACTTTCCACGTGACATGTTTAAGACCACAAGATTAAAGGGAATTTTGGTTCATTTGACATAACTTTAATTTAGAACCACAAGATTAAAAAGTCTTCTTTCTTTTCTTAAACTCCGCTCCAAGTCAAACTAGACCATTCTTTTTTAAATTGAGGGAGTAATACTTTTCGTATAGTTATTAAATATCTTAATTTTTTAAAATATTGAGTTGATCTTAGTCAAATTGACTTAGCAAGAGGAAAGTACCACATAAATTGAGACAGAGGGAGTAACGTGTTTAATTTATTCCAACATCTTATAACATGACATGTTGAAAACCACACGTTTTAGAAGTCATTTTAGTATATTATACACATCTTTGATTTAAAACCACAACATTCAAAAGTAACTCTTACTTTCTTAAATCACGTGTTCAAAAAGTCATGTTTCTATCGATTTTAAACTTCGTGTTCAATCAAAATATAACCATATAATGAAAAAGAGATAATAAGGGTTTCATTACCTGTACTTTGACGTCTTCTTTCTTGTAGCCATGCAAGTTACACCTAAAGATATGTGCCTCTGGTGTTTCCTTATACTCGATTTGCGCCATCGTTGCAGGTACGTGGTGGAACGATGGAGCTGGAGCTATGAGGGATCGAGGGTTTTCGAGATAAAATTCATGGAAAGGATCCCATACTTCATGATGAGCAAAAGGATCGTGCACTTGGTGTGCGTGTTCAGAATAAGGATCATACACAGGGTGTGAAGGGCGAGAATAAGGATCATGCACCTTGTGTGTCTGGTGGTCGGAATAAGGATCATGCACCTGGTGTGCATGATTTCTCCGACCACCAAATAGAGGCATGAGAGACAGTTTTTTTTTTGACAAAAGAAAGTAAAGGAGAAAATGAATTTGTATGTGGAGTTGAGTTAATTTCTTGGTGGAATTATTATGAATAATAGGGTAAGGTATTTATACAGGGTAAATAAATATTTAGAAATTTCAAGAAATGGAATTTGTGTGAAAGGGGATGTAAAGTTGATGAGATGGTGTAATATGGAAATATTTTACGGTTGAAATGAAAGAGAATGAAATTCCTTAATAATGTGGAAAACAGAATTGAAAGATTCTATCTTTATCAACAATAGAACAAAAAACAGTGAAAAATCCACTAACAATTGGATGGGAATTTCAATTTTTCACGATAAAGGGTTGAATTTCAGTGGATCGTTATAGCAAGGTTGCTCTGCCATTTACAATACGTACCTTGTTATTCATTTATTTTACACGTTGATCAATTAAAATTGTATTTCGAGATATATGGTTACCTAGCTAAGCACAACTTATAGTACAAGAAATGAAGAATATTAATCATTGTCTTTTTATGTATGTTAAAAGTATAGTTTGGACGTGTCAATTCTAATTCTGTTCACATTTATACTTTATTCGATGGGATCATTTATTTGTGTTCACAACTTTAATTATGCGATCCTATCCATATGGAATATTATTTAATATGAATTTTAGGGAGTTTAGACATTGTTACATTACAAGATCCTATGGTACAAGTAATATAGGGAATTAAGATTCAAGTGTTATTACGAACTAAAATCATAGTTAAGTGAATAAACTCATAATATAAAT